CTACTGGGTTTAGAATGGATTCCCATTCTGAGCAAGAAAAAAGGAAATATATGAGCACTTTCTTGATAATTATGTGTGGGAGCGAACTGATGGTTGTCATGTTGTGTACAACGTAGGAAATGCTGGAACCAGTACATGTTCAGTGAGTTCAGAGCTGTTAGAATGCAGTTCGAAGGAGGTGACGTTCACATGCCTCTGTGACTACACGATGAAATCAGAAAGGAGAACATTAACATATGAAATTGCCTATTTGAAAGTTGCGTATGGATGCGACAATGATGAATGGGCACTTTAATTGAAGCGAATAAGATTTCAGAAGCAATGATAGCTATACAGATCCCTATAGTGTCTATATCTATCTATATCCATAGGGGATTATTCGAGACATTCTGCAAAAGGAGGGGCGGGCCACTCGTCCTCGAGTAGGTTCAGGCTTCGCGATGACGCGCGTCGACGCGGTGTCACGCGCGCCGATGCGCTGACATTCCAGTGGCGTTGCAGTGCTATAGACGGAACGCGGTCGCAGCAAGGTATCGATCGGAGTTGGACGCTAGTGTTTTGGGAGAGTATATAAGAACAGGATCGTATCAGACTGTGTGAAGCAGCACTCACTTTCCTGTCATCCCATACTCTCTCAAAACACAAGCGGCTGGCGCCAATCCATACCCATCTTTTGCGGCTTCGTTCCAGTCAATAACGCTGGAGTGGTAGCGCTAGCCGCATGTCGTCGCGCGCCACTTCGAGTCATCGCGAAGTCTGAACGCCGATAGATGTGAAGATTACATCTATGTCCGAGTAAAATGCAAGAGGTATACTCGAAATCCCTGAGATCGGGTAGGCGTGGCTGCATGCTTCAACTTAACCTGAAGGAGTCTATGCTTCTGGTGAGATATTTTCATCTTGACACAATTGTTGTCGTGTCTCTGTCCAACACAGAACAAGATGACAGTTGTCCCAGACTGGAATATTCCACGAGTAACCAGTTCCGTGCCATGTTCAAATGCCACGCCTACTCTGGCTCAGGGATAAGGAGTATACCTTGACTACGTCGCTCCATTATAGATGGGGGGGGGGTTGACGTGAAGCACACATTGAAAATTGAAGAATGTGGCGAGCAGTGGTTTCAAGAGTCCATTGATAGCCAGATGGGCGGGGAATCACAATCATTGTACCTCCGAAGTGGTAGATGGGAACCTGCTCTTACACAGTGAAAAGGAGAGGTACGTCACTGAGATAGGAAGTGATTGAGACTTGCTGCTCATTCCTCCGCCTACTAGTAATCGCGGAATGTGTTCCTCGAGGGGTGTTATTTTTTTAGGACTGAGTTGTCTCTCAGTACGGAATGTAGTACATGCACGGTTCAAGTGAGAGGTTGGATAATATGTTCTCTGACATCTAAATGCCTATTTAGTTGATATTTAGGACTTCATACACCGTGGTATTTCAGCAGTTACTCGATTATATCGTGGTAAGGAGAGCTCCGTGCTCAGAGTCCTCGAGTTCCTAGACATACTGTCATCCCTGCGACGATGGTATCCATAGCAGCCAATATCAGAGCACATACTGCTAACCAGAACGAGTAGCCATACTCATTACTACGGTAGTTGATGAAGCCTGAAAAGGGGCCATGTACAAAAATGCTAGATGTATTTTTTATCATCAGATAGCCTTTCAAGATTGAACTTGTCTTTATATTCAGTTGCCACAGTGAATGTCTTATCCGGGGTTTTGAATAAGGAAAGCGGCTATAATACGATTTTCTATGCCTTCTTCAGGTTCGACTTGCTGTTGCCAAAAGTTGGAATCTCTTGTGGTAACGCCAATAACCTGGAGGGGAGGAGGGGAAGAGGTGGGAGGGGGTACGACTGTGAGCTCTTCCGCAAGCTTTGTTAAGTCGTGTCAACTGTATCCATGAGGACACCGAGCTATCGTGTCTCACGCTGCATTCCTGTAAAGCCCTGTCAATTATCCTGCGAACCCCTGCCAAGCCCTGCAGCCATGTAGTGCTACATATGTGATAGATTAAAGCTAGTTTCAATTTTGCCATTTTGACAGGTTTGGGAGGGGCTCACTGTTTGCTCAGGATAAGGCTCACAGGGCTGACAAGGTTGTGCGGAATCAACATGTATATGGTTAAAAGGCTTCCGTACAAAAACGCATGTTTAGGCAGACAGGTAATGTACAGTAAACCCGGTATTGAACATGTCGATCACCTGAATGCGAAAATTGGCATACCGCAAGCCGGTTGGAAGGAAGCTTTAAAGCGAGACCAGGAAGTGAGAACTACGCTATTTCCGCTCTCTATCTCCGTTCCGGTATTACCCAGACTGAGAGGTACTGAAAGCACTCGCTGGTGCTACGTGCCTGTTTCTGTTTTGGATACTCTATCCCGCCAGTTTTCGTGAGCTTATCTTCAGTGGATTTGGTATGCTGATAAGTGCTTCAAGGTGTGCCCCCTAGCTTATTAGTGCCCACTTTGTTTCAATGTAGACAAATCTCCATAGCCCCGCTACCGTTAGTGGAACTTTTTTTGAAGTGATTCTTCGGATATGTACGAATAAGAAAGGTTCATAGTTCGCGACATCCGCATCGCGCGATCGCTATAGGCTAGATTTGTACTGGTCTTGCGCTTATTGCTACCAGGAAGACAAGCGATCCCTTGTATGGCGCGTGATGTTCTTCTACGAATGCAGCCTGCCGCTAGTGTTTCCAGTTGTGCAATAAATTCAATAAACTTGCCATCTGATTCGTTCTGCGCCACCACATAGACGATCACACCAATAAAAAGAAATACTGTAGTGATGAATGCCAATCCCACCAACGGGTGGATGATGTATTTTTTGCAGCAACAAGCACAGCTGAAATACGATTATTGAGGGATTCATCTAAACAGAAATGAAACTGGTTTGAATTCTCATGCACCATGAATCACTCCAGACCTGTGCAATTTTTCTAATCGATTTTTCGAGTTGTGAAATACGAAAAACCAAAGAAAGGGGTCGTATTTCGGTCGATGGGAAGGGAGGAGTCGTAAAAGAGCGCTGCGTAGAAAAATCTCTGGTCTGAGATTTTTCCCCGTTTCACTTGCGCCGTTATTAAATTTTCTCGGTTTTCCCCTGTTTCATGTGGGTCACACGTCCCACCCTTTCGTACATGTTCGACGACACTTTTTTGGGGAAAAGTGGAAGAATCTTTGAGAAAAAAAAACAAAAAAGTGGATGAAGTTAAGAAAGAAGGTAGGTAGGATAGGGTGTGAGGAAGGGGGCGGTGGTGGAAAAAACTGAGCGGGGCCGTATTTTGCAAAAGCTGCCCCAACGACAAGCCCTCGCCAGTTCAGTGAGGATTACTGAAACGTCTGAGTGAGCGAATCTCAGTCTAAAGTCTCCATTTTGAATCCTTCAGACAGGGATGAAGAGGTCTAACCTACTCCCCTGCCCCCTTCCCTCATCCCTCCCTCCCACCTGAAGAAGTCTTTCGAAGGCCAAGCCACAATGAAAACCAAACATGGAGTGCACTTACAAAGTGACGAAATTCCAGACTAACGATATCACTTGGAACACAATGGCTAAACACAGGGCACACGCAACAGCTATCATGTGGTCCCTTTGTGCCTGAAATAGCTCCCATTAACAAAAAAACTTTTTTTCCAATATTATGAGGACTTACATGTTGCCATGGATTACATAGATGCTCCTGATTTATGCAGTCCCATGACAGAAGCTCTGAAACAACAACACGATTACGAGTCTTACATATGGGATGCGCCACGCATTCGTCCGTCGGGGTGGGAGGCGGGGGGGGGAGCGCGGCGATCAGCAGAAAATTGTAGTGGTTTCCTGTGCCTCTGGCGGACCATGAAGGCTGAACATCAATCATAGTTCTACCAACCTAAGAGGCTACCGGCGGTTCCGCTTCGGAGGGGCGTCAGAAACTTTCGCTAGTTCTCTTCCCTCCTTCCCTGCTACCTTAAGGGGACCTCTGTTTTCGGGAAGGCCTGTGAGCTCCTGTGAAGCTGTGAAACGATAGGAGTAAATTACTTTTCAACAAAAACTTACAGGTCTTCACAAGATAGCCCGTGAAAGGCTAGCTGGGTACAATTCAGCATCCCCACCAAGCCTAACTGCTCCCAGGCTATCTATACCTTTAAATTGTATAGTCGCGGTATCTACAGTAGTCTCTTCCACTTCATCCTTTAATCACGACATCGCAATGTTCGTGTTGCCTTGGAGGTACAGTCCATTCTGGTTATATGGAAGGAGACGGGCCTCCCATCGTGTCTCGCCGTTTTTGCGCCCTCTCCTTTCTGGGAGTGAAGGACACGCTGGTCAGGAAGTTGTGGGCCTGACTCCACCCATTCTGTCAGCGTGGACTGTGCCTTTCAAAAACGTTGGAATTTAGCAGAGAACAGATATTGGCGCAGTTCGGCTTGGTGGGGGCAACAAATGGTACTCAGATATGCTTGTATAACAATCTTGTGAAGACCTGTAAATCCCTGTGACCAAAAAAGTCAGCACGAATAAGTTCGCAGCTTCCCGAGACTTTACATGCAATACTAAAAGGTGGCCTGTTCTTTACATAAACTCTTAAAGGATTTACGAAAGTACAAAACGCCCCTCCAAGCCGAACTGCGCTCAAATTTTTTCCAAAACAGGTCTTTTCCTCTCTTTTCATCCATCAGCTAAACTCGGTTTCCTTTGCTCTGGCGATACTCACTGGAAACCGGTTTACACAATATTACTATTATATAGTGAGGTAAACAAGTAACGTACTTCCGTCGAATGTAGCAACTGCCGTCAGAATCAGGCATAAGCCCATAATAAATCCAAACACGATCTGCCCACACGCGGAAAAAATGCACATCTGAATCGAATCTATTGAACAACGCTCACTGTACATGAACGGTCGACAATAAATGGAACATTATGACAAGGGAAAGAAAGAACTGGAAGAGAGAGGCAAACTGGTATTAGAGCGATAACCGATGCAGAAAAATCAATCCAAAATGAGACCAATTTGAAAGCTCCAAGAGCACCAGAGAACAGAAACTAGTCCTAGTACTAGTAAACCGAGGCAGGATAACTGTCCAAGGCAAGCATCCTCAGGCCAGACAAGCCCAGACAGTCTTCCCTACCTTTTTTGACAGTGTTAACTATTTGGCTTTGAAAATCTTTCATGGTACTAAAAGGTTAGGTGAGGGCATATGAAAGGTGACCCCTTGTGAATGGGCCATCTGCGCTACGGTAATGCGATACTTATACCACTCCCTATGGGTCTCCATGGCTACAGAAATTGTCTAATCTGTATAACCAGTAATTTGCTTAACACCTCATTTTCGGCATCAACTAAACGGGGTCAGATCGATTATGGTCCATATCAAAAGGGACAGGGTAAAGCGCTGTCAACAGTTGATCAAACTTACAATCACCTTGTTAGACACGCCGCGTGCTTGACTTCCACCTACAAATTCTGGAGCGTTCGAATCTATGCATACCTGGCCTCTGCAAAGGGTACGGTACAAGACTGAGCTACTAAATGTTGTCAGCTTAGTTCCTTCTTCCCAAGCAGGACAAGTCTCACGTTGGGCGCCTCTAGCGAGTGGGTGGTAACTTGCAAGAAAAATGCCTTCTGCTGGTGAGTTTTCTCCCTTTTCCCTGTTTCAAGTTCACCTACATACTCACCCCCCTTCCTCCCACTCTACGGCAGTTTCTTCTTGGAAAAGCTGTAAAAAAAATCTGAAAAAGGAGGCGTCGTGCCAGAGACCAGAGGAGGGAATTTTGAATGCAGGTCGTATTTCACCAAATTTTCCCCCAACTTTACGACGTGCCCTTTTCCCAAGCGAGATTATACTCCTTTCAGTGAGATGATAGGTTTCTTTAGCCCAAGTGAGACTCAAGATAGGCTCGGGAGTTATGGCAGCTGCGCCTCTTGAGGCTCCGGAGTTATGGCATCTGCGCCTCTTGCCAAATCCAGTGCTTCGCCGGAGTGCTATGAAGGGTAAAAAGGCTAAAGATGAAAACG